CCCGGTTAGATGATGAATTTTCTACAAGGGCATTTTCATCGTGTGTGTTAGGGTCAGGGGATGCCATGAAGTCTTGAAAAAAGACAGAATGGATGAATCCTGTCTCCCTTGACAACCAACCCCAAGTTGATCTCTGAATGCTAGCACTACGTGACATAAAGCAAGAGTCTTTGCAAAATAAAATAGCACGTTCCTTATGTGCTGTTTGTCTTTCTTCCTCCCTCCCAGGAGCACACACTGAGGGCTGAAGGGTGGAAATACACTGCATAATCCTCTCCTTTCTCCACTAGGTTCTCTGCCAGCGCAGGATTCACAACGGAAGAAAACACAGCAAGTTTTGTGCTGGATGAGTTAAGAAAATGATTGTTCCCACTTCTGTTTTTCCTTGAAACCTTTGTTTGTAGTGCTCTGTACTCATATGAGTTTCAGTTTATGTCTCAAAATACCAGTGACTGAAAATGCAGCTCTGTGTGCATTTCCACACACTGTACACTGCCACGGGGAGGACGCTTTCATTCTCAGCCCACTCAATTGCTCAACACTCGGCAAACATCTGTCTCAGGAAGTGACACTGGTTCAGAACTATGTCCAAAGGTAATGATGTTCTCCACAGTCATTTTAAGTAGTTTTATCCTGATAGTTTAAAAGATTTGTTGTTTAATTAGCGTGCCAAAATTAAGGCAGTGAAGACATCAGCTCCTCTCACTCTTGTTGGTGTAAATATTTATTCAGCCATAATTTTGCTTTTATTCGTTGTCGTTAAAGCTTTGGTGGTTAGTAGAGTATGAATTTGTCGGTCTTGATGAGTGTGCAATAGTTGTTGGAATGCCACAGGGTTTGTCATTTTACACACCAGCTTGTTTATTTTGTGGAGTCGAACACACGCCGTAATGCACACGCAGGGGTCAGAGCACAGCATCAAGGGGTACTTAATCTCTTACCATGGGAGTCCTGAGGCTCAAACTTGGGTCGCCACGCTCGGGCACAGGTGCTTTGACCCTGCTGAGCCATCTCATGGGCTCCACAGGCTTATGTTTGACATCTGGCAAAAGTCTGCCGTTCAGATTCAACTTTGGCCTCAGTCTATTTCAACACCATTTCTGGAATCCTTGAAATTGTGTATGATCAATAATCTTATGGTTGGTGCGGCCATCGCTGCCCTATGGCTGACCCTAGCCATGACTTGGGGGTTGTTGTAGTATGTGAAGCCCCTCTTCCCAGTGTCACATGTATTTCAGATATGCCCTGGAGTAAAGACCTTCCTTCTGGCTTCAACCTAAAACATCAACATTTCTATAAACTCTTAGAATCGAGGACTCTTCAGCTTGTCGTAAGCTTCGAAGACCCATTTCACTCAAATTTATTTCTGGTACAAGACAATGATGACACTAGAAATTAGCTCTTCTGGCTCATTCTGGAATTTTTTTATATGCACAGTATAAATGACCATTTTTGGTTTAAAGTCCTCTTTTGCCCTTTCCTCACTATCCACTCTGCCGGGAACTGCACAGTAGTGAGAGAGGGAGCATGGGAGAAAACTGAAGGGGAGCACATCTCACATTCTGTAGACAGTGGCTCTCCAGCCCGATCGCTTAGCCTCGCGGTGAGAAGTGCAAGAATATCCTAAGTACAGGAGTTCATTCAAGAAAAACTAATTTAACAAGCACTGAGCTGCGATTGAGGGTATTAGCAGATGTGGTTTTATACGTGTAATGGGCTGAAGTGTAGACCATGGTTCTGGTCAAATAAAAGCATCCCATGGAGTACTGCATCAACAGAAGTCCCTCATACTTGTGTTGCATCAAAAACTAAACAAGGTGATATTTTAATTTATTCAGATTTGCTAAGCACATTGGGTTCAAAACTGTGTCTTTAATTTAAAAGGTGGTAGTCAGGAGTCATCCCTAAGTCCTAGTGAGCCTTTGGATAGGAGCTCTAGGAACTTGGTGTAAAAATGACTCAAAAGAGAGATTTCTAAACTCTTACAGCTGACTGATGTACAGAGCCATACTCTCAAAAGAGTGAATGAAGGTATAGTTAATGCATCTACTAAATTAAAATTTAGAATTAGTTTTAATGAAGATCATAATGTGATCTCTATCTTCCAAACTTGAAATTAAATGATTAAATGGTCTTGTTGAAAAGGACCCTCTCCCTTTCCTATCTCTTTTTAGAACAAGTTTTCTTATTGCTTCTATCTATCTACACAACAGAAAATAAGATGGAAAAAGACAGGTAAAGAATAGACAATCAAAATTTTTGTCAAACTAGCAATAATCAATATCCATCCAAAGATACACAATCTCATCAAGGGAGCCAAATGTAGTATACATTTAATTTTATTAAACAATAACTTTTTTATTTATTCACTCAAAAATTTACCTTTCCTCCCCTCCTCCCATTCCCCTCCGGCTCCCTTCCTCACCCTCCCTCCTTAAGAGAGGGCAGGGAATCCTGCCCTGTGGGAAGTCCAAGGCCCCCCCCATATCCAGGCCTAGGAAGCTTTGCATCCAAATAGACTAGTGTCCCAAAAAGGCAGCACTTGCAGTAGAAACAAGTCCCAGTGCCTTTATCAATGGCTTCTCAGTCAGCCCCCATTGTCAGCCACATTCAGAGAGTCCAGTTTGATCACATGCTTGTTCAGTCCTGGTCCAGCTGGATTTGGTGAGCTCCCATTAGATTAGGCACGCCTCAGTGGGTTGATCATCCCCTTCCTTCGCAGTCCTGACTTCCTCCCTCCTTCTGCTCTTCAACTGGACCTTGGGAGCTCAGTCCATTACTCTGATGAGGGTCTCTGTCTCTATCTCCATCCGTCACCAGACGAAGATTCTATGGTGATAGTCAAGATAATCATCAGTGTGATAGTGGGGCAAGGCCAAAAGTGGGAAGTAGACTGCAACACATGGACACAGGAGACCACTTCCTACGTATAACCCCAGTAGCACAGACAACAAGAGCAACATTGAATAAATGGGACCTCCTGAAACTGAGAAGCTTCTGAAAAGCAAAGGACACTGTCATTAAAACAAAAAAGCATCCTACTGAATGGGAGAAGATCTTCACCAACCCCGCATCAGACAAAGGTCTGATCTCCAAAATATATAAAGAACTCAAGAAACTGGACATTAAAATTCTAATTAATCCAATTAAAAAATGGATTAAAAAATGGGGTACTAAACTGAACAGAGAATTCTCAACAGAAGTTCAAATGGCCAAAAAAATAATTTTCCAACAAACTTTTCTCCTGAACCTCCTAGAGCCTCACACATGACAGGAAACACAAGGTCACTGAGTAATATTTCAGTCCTTTTTTTTTTTTGAGTGATGATCTCACTTTGTTCCCCTGGCTGGCCTAAATCTCACTGTATAAACCAACCTGGCCTTGAGCTCCTGCGCCTCTGCCACACAAATGCTGGCATTACAGCCATGTGCCACCCCCCACCTTTTTCCATCCTGCTCTCTACTTCTTATTTTGAGTCAGGGTCAACAAATTTCTCAGGCTGGGCTTAAACTCACTCCTGCTCCCAGGCTAGCCTTGGAGTTAAATCCTTCTGCCTCAGTCTCATGAGTACCAGGGGCACAGACATGCATCATAATAGCCAACAAAACAGACAAACTTCAATCTTGTGGTGACCATATATTAATTTCCTTATTTTCATGGCTCTGTAAAGTAGATCAACCAGTCCTATCTTGGAAAACAAAGAGAACAATGAATCAATACTGATGAAAATGTTTTATTTCATCCATAGAAAATTCAATATGAATACTTATCAAATAAAAATTATTCCCTTACAGAATAATCAATCTTTATTTCCTTGATGCTTAGTGATTTATTAAATATGTACATATGGCTTAGGTCCAGCTGAACTGTCATTTTCTTTATAATAAGCAAAGATAAGAAGAACCATAAAAAAAAAGTCAAACAACTACACATTGGAGGGAGGGCTGGGGAGGTAGTTCAGTCAGTAAAATGCTTCCCATGTAAGCATCAGAACCTAAGTTTGTTTTCCAGCATTCGTTCACATAAAAAGCCAGGCGTGGAGGTGTGCACCTGTGTTCATCCACATAAAAGACCAGGTGTGGAGGTGTGCACCTGTGTTCATCCACATAAAAGGCCAGGTGTGGAGGTGTGCACCTGTGTTCATCCACATAAAAGGCCAGGTGTGTATGGAGGTGTTCACCTGTGTTCATTCACATAAAAGACCAAGAGTGGAGGTACGCACCTGTGTTCCTAGCCCTATGAGGCAAAGACGGAATGATCACAGTAGCTTACTGGCCAGCCAGTCTAGCCAATTGGTGAGCTCTTGGATCAGTGAGAGATGGCTGCCTCAAAAATTAAGATGAGGAGCTGTTGGGAAGCCACCCGATGACATCATCTGACCTCCACAGTTACATGCGTCCTCAGACACACACCCCTGTAATGTCAGACTTTCCCTGGGGAGGCCTGACACAAACGTCTATTCACCCCACAATAGGAAGCAGACAGAACAAAGTCATGATTCTACCAAGGTCTAACTTGGCTTTATTTATTTCAATTTCTTAAAAAAGAAAAAGAAAAAAAAGACACTGAAGGACACTGAAGCACATACCTCTAAGCTTACCTTATCTAACATTCTGAGGTAGATTTCATTTATTATGTCATTTGAGAGAAGGCATTGCTCCCTGAATTACCAAGAGCAGATTGATATTATATATTAGTAGTCATTGTCCTTTTTTAAAAAAAAAGTCAATCATATTGATTGATTTCATCAAACTGTATGATTATTTTATTTTATTAATTGTTTAAAGTACTGAGTATTAGTCTGAGTTGCTGGCAGCCTGTAGGCACAATTTTTCAAACTTTACGGTAACTTCAAAAAGTCAATAAAAGAATAGAGATGGTACTGGAAATTATCTGGAATTGATTTTTTTAATAGTGAAGTAGTTAATATGTTACAAAAATAAGTGGTTGGTAGTTTACTTTCATTGCCCATCAGGTAAAATAAAAACCAGTGGCTCTGGACAACGATCAGAGGTCAAGGAGCCGAGGGCTCGGAACCATTCTCTGTTTCTGGCCCTCTCCACCATGAGGGGAAACCAGCAGCTCACGCTGGTCTCATTTTTACTGTGCCTGCTTCTTCCCAGAGATGCCGCAGCCACTGCAAAACCGTAAGCAATTCTTACTTCAGAAAACCCTTCCTTCCTACCGTGTTATCTCTTTCCTGGCTTCCTATGCAGTTATTCGTTGTCAAAGATTTTGAAGGGACAAGTAAGTTGTCATGGGTCATGTAAAAGATCTACTCCAGTTCTAGAAACCTCAGCTATATGGGGCAGTAATCTTGTCAAACAGCACCAGATAAAAATATAGAATTTCTACCAAAAAAAAAAAAAAGGATAAACTGTCTGTCACAGTTGTTCTCAAGCTTCCTAATGCTGCAGCCCTTTGATACAGTTCCTTTAATACAGTTCCTCACGTTCTGCTGACCCCCAACCATAAAATTATTTTTATTGCTATTTCATAACTGTAATTTTGCTCTGTTATGAACTGTAAATATCTGATATGCGGGATATCTGACAAGTGACCCCTGTGAAAGGGTCATTCAATCCCTCAAAGGGGTTACAACCGACCGGTTGAGAACCACTGGGTTATCAATTCATAAATGCCCTGCCATGTCCTGGTATTGGGAAGTAGCTCAGTGTCTCTGTTCCCCTAAGTTGAGGGAGGCACCAAGGCAAACGGATGAGAGACTGCGTGAGTCCCTTTTTAGAATCCTTCAGAAAACATAGGGGCTGCAGTAGATTTTAGAAAACATTAACAAAATTCAGACCCTTCCTGAAATATCTCACAATATGGAAAAAGAGATATGGTACTCAAGAAAAAGAAAGAAAGAAGTAAAGAGATTGTCCCAAAGAGAAACAACCATTGCAGAGGCCCACGAAGAAAATCTTAGACTTCATAGGGCCGATGCAGGGAAGGGATCTTTGGCAAGTTTAGCAAGTTCTTATGAGAGAAAATTGTTCAGGACAGACAGACACTCAGGAGGTAAGAAGCAATGTGAAATATACAACCTTGCAGAGTAGGGCACGTTCGGATGCCTGACCGTGAACAGCACGGACGTGCCGGGAAGGCGTGTTCTCCGCTTAGCAGTGTCTGGGGATGTTTGCTGATCATATCAGCAGTCTGCTGGCTTATATCACCAGACAGTGAGGGGAAGGAGGGAGCTGAGGTTGCTTCTTAAACTTGATTGTGAAGCAATTCAGCTTTTCCCATGTGTGGCATGTTAGTTTCTAGTGCTTTCTGGGTGAGAGATTTGTGGTACTCGTATGGAGGTATGGCGTCTGAGGCCACAGGCGGTTGGGTTTTTAAGGCTTCCAGTGATGAATCACTGATAAGTTCATGGTTTGGAAATCTGGAATTTTTAACCAAAATATATGATAGCTGTCACATCAGATGGTGTGTGTGTGTGTGTGTGTGTGTGTGTGTGTGTGTGTGTGTGTAAGCATGGATCAGGAACATCTATCCACCCCAGAAAGAGAATCAAAAATAGACCAAAGTAGACCACCTTGGTCATCTTGGTCAATCAAAGCATTCCACTGGGATACCTACAGGAATATGAGTTGGGGGTTGCCTATGGGAACATGGATGATTCAAAGGCAACTACATAGCCAAAACCACCTGGGCGCTGATTCATGAAACTCACATCCCTGGAACTCTCTGAGTGACTTGCAGGAAGCTCTGCTCATAGGAGAGTCTCCTACAGGGAGCTTGACTGGTCCAGGAATATCTTAGAGGCAACTCGGCCTCCTCGCTCCTCTCCAGCGGTTGTTCACTGCTTCTGTAACCATGGAGAGATGTCATCAATCCCGTTAGTCTCAGCTCTCCAGAACTCATAAGATTTACTTCTTGAGTCTCAAGTTCCTCCCTGCCCCCCTCCAGGAAGGAATGTTCCAATTTGGAGGAAGTTGCTACACAGCAATAACTTGAATTGATCTCCCAAAGTCTCTAATATTAGATGTTGATATTAAACGTTCTGTGGATGAACATTTCCTGAAAGCCAGAGAATCAAGTCCGTATTCAATCTGGGATTTTTACGGTGACCTCAGGGGAACCCAATCTTGCTGAAACCTATTGCTGATGGCAATATGAAATACTAGGGGAAAAGCCACAGGAACGACGTCCTTTGAGTCCTTGATGCTTAATCCTCTTCCCCACAGACAATATGTGGTGCTGGTCCCTTCACTCCTCGATGCAGGAGTTCCTGAAAAGGTCTGTGTCAACCTCCAGCACCTGAACGAGACTGTGACACTCGACATAACTCTACATTCTGAGAGGCAGACCACAAACCTCCTCACAGGCCAGACGGTAGAGAAGGATTCCTTCTACTGCAACTCTTTCACGGTCAGTGTCCTTCCCGGAATGTGTGGTACGGGTAGAGAAAGAGTAATCGAGTTGAACATTATGTTCTCATCCATCAAAAAGAAAAATACCTTACAGAAAATCTAACTTAAATTTCTTTTCATGAAACTTACAAACAGATCTAATGAAGTGCTTGAAAGGTTACCATCGCTATAGGAAAGATTTAATTTTACCTTAAAATGACTTCTGAGGTAAATACCCTTCATACTTTTACAGATATAAGTATTGAGATTCTTCTTTTAAGATTTATTTTCACAAGCCAGGTGGTGGTGGTGCATGCCTTTAATCCCAGCACTCGGGAGGCAGAGGCAGGTGAATTTCTGTGAGTTCAAAGCCAGCCTGATTTACACAGCGAGATCCAGGACAGACTCCAAAGCTACACAAAGAAACCCTGTCTCAATAAAACCAAAAAAAAAAAAAAAGATTTATTTCACTTTCCATGTCTCTGTGTATGTGCATATGAGTGCAGGTAACCACTGAAGACAGAAGGGGGCACCCTAGATCTAGACCTGTGGACAGTGGTGAGCCTCATGACATGGATGTGGGATCCTAATTCCTCTGCAAGGGCACTGTGTGCTCTTAACTGCTGAGCCATCCTCAGAGGTCTTGAATACAGACTCATAAAAGCCAAGTTACTCATGTAAGACAGACAGCTGATACTGGCCTTGGAAGGTGGAATGTGACAATTATCTTTAGTGTCAAGACTTCACTTTGAAAATGAAGACACCACCTGTTTCATTGTGGTGGCTGCACTGAAGGATGTCTCGCTCCTTCCGCCCTCCCTAAGTAGTGAATTGCTAACATCACGTGACACAATCATAGCGGTCTCTGGATGTAACAAGAAATTGAGTCCTTGTCGTTCCCTTGCCAGTTCTCAGGGTTTCGCGCAGAAAACAGACCCTGTAAAAGCTGAGCACTCAGAAGCCGGTCTGAGCACACTCTTCACGTTTCTGTCTTGCAGATCTCCGGTCTGCCAGCATCCTTAGCATTCATTATTGTGCAGATAAAGGGGCCGACCCAGAACTTCACAAGGACGAAGCCAATAGAGATAAGAGAAGCAGAGAACATAGTCTTTGTCCAGACAGACAAGCCCATATACAAACCAGGACAAACAGGTATAAGGAATAAACAGAGCAAGGACAACTGTGGGGATGTGGGTGGGTGGTATTCTTTATGACTAAGCCGCAGTCATGGCACCTCTGGCACTGGGTTCCCACTGTGTGGGGTGGGGGGGGGGGGGTAGACAGAGACTGTGTGCTCGTTTCCCACCCCTCACACCCAACACAGAAACTATACTAATTACAACACTGTTTGGTCAATAGCTTAGGCATATTTCTGGCTAACTCTTACATCTTAAATTAACCCATTTCTGTTAATCTGTGAATCACCCTGAGGGTGTGGCCTACTAGTAAGCTTCTGACTGGCGGCTAGCATCGTCCTTCTCCTTCAGCGGTCACATGGCATCTGACTCCACCGACTTTCTCTCTATATCTCTGTTTGGATTTCCTGCCTGGTGTCATTAATAACCAATGGTAATAAAACGTATTCATAGCATACAGAGGGGAACCAGTGGAGTCTCACAGAGAAAATCTCTGTTTCAGTGAAATTCCGTGTTGTCTCTGTGGACACCAGTTTTCACCCGCTGAATGAAACGGTGAGTCTCCTTTTGGTGGGTGAATTCAAATGAGAAAAACATACAAACACTTAAGTCTCATTCATTAAAAAATAATAACCTGAAATCATGAAAGAGATACTAAGTCTATCACAGAAGAGTGCCCGAGCGTACCCATGCCAGAAGCATATGCAGTGGTGGCATCCATGCGGTTCACCAATCACTTTCTTAAAGTAGATAAAGCACTCAAAAATCAAGCAGCCATGGTGGTGTATGCTCCCAGTCCCAGAATATGGGAAACTGAGTTGAAGGATCACAAGGCCATGACCTGCCTGGACCACACAGTAAGATGCTGTCTAAAAAATAAATAAATGAATAAATAAAAAGATATTCGATCGAAAATGTCCTCTTAAGAGATTCCAGCCACACCAGAAGTGCATCTGGTTTCTCTTAAGCAAATATCATTTGCAAAACAATGGTATACTTATTATTCAGCTCTTTCATCCAGTTAGATTTCCTCAATTAGCTGTCATAAAAGGAAAGTTGTGACTTCTGAAGAGATTTATGTTCTACACTCAGGAAGCAGAGGCAGGCAGATCTCTGTGAGTTCGAGGCCAGCCTGGTCTATAGAGTGAGTTCCAGGACAGCCAGGGCTACACAGAGAACTCCTGTCACAAAAAAATTAGACGGGGGGAGGAGAGATTGATTTATGTCCCAAACCAAACATGTAAAAAGCTACGGATCAAACAGGGGATCTCTCCTAGCTCTGGCAAGAGAAACAGACTTTGCTCCTCTGCGTCACGATTGCCTCTGACATCCGTGAATATGTGGGCAGCGTAATTGGACTTTGGTGGGTGAAAAGAAAAAGGAAGAGGAAGACCTGAATTTGGGTGGGTAGAGAAGAGGGTACGGATCTGGGAGGAGAGCGGTGTGTGTGAATATGGTTAGAACACATTGTACGAAATTCTGAAAGAACTAGTTAGAAAGGACAAGTGATAAGGGACAAGAAAATAAATCATGGCATGAAAAAGAAGCAGTAAGTTCAGTCAGCTTTTTAGGCTGTAATTCTATTCCACCACACACTCATACTACTTTTTTTCTTTTCAGTTCCCTGTGGTTTACATTGAGGTAAGTCACAAACTGTACACCTAATTTGGAAGGAGGGTGCCCTACAAGTTACACTAGATTCTTTGCTCCTTTTAGATGCCACCTCAACTAAACAAATGCTTTTTTTTTTTTTGCCTACCTCAAGTTCTTTGTAAAAATAAAAGTTAAATGAAGAATTGCAGTTCTTTAGGGTGGTATGACTTCATGACTCCTCAAATATTTCAGGCCAAAATAAACATGTATCAAAAAGAGATTTATTCTATCACATAGATGCAGGGTCTCCCTTCTAACCTGCTTGACTTTCAGCATTAGGAAAAGTTGATGCATTCGGGATGGTACGGCTATAGGATCCATAGGACCCTACAGCTGGTGCCCACACTGTCTGTTTGCTGTTATTCAGTCTGGGATTCTTTTTAAAAGTGGGTTAATGACTTTAGCACTAATTCTTCAACCACTTATTAATCTCCCAGTGTTATTATTGCCTGAAAAGCTGATCCCTAATCAAACTATATGTTTGAATTGTTTACATAACTTGTATCTTTCTGTAGAATCCCAAGAGAAACCGAATTTTTCAATGGCGAAACATCAATCTACAAACAGGACTCCACCAGCTCTCTTTCCCACTGTCAGCTGAGCCAGCTCTAGGTACCTACAAGGTTGTAGTGCAGAAGGACTCTGAGAAGAAAATAGAGCACTCCTTTGAGGTGAACGAATATGGTAAGAATCCTCCAAGTATTTATGACACTGGAATCTTGGGGTTACTTCTGTGTATATATGTGAGGTGCATGCATATGTGTGCATGTTGGGGGTTGTATGTTCGCACTCTGTGTGTTTATATGTGGATGACAGAAGTCAGTGTCAGAAAATCAATCAAAAAAACAGGGCTCTCAACACTCCCAGAGCTGTTGGGACAGCCTTCATAAGGTAGTGCCTTTCACAACCATGAGAGAGGTTGAAAGAGAAGGATCCAAAAAGAGGAAGTGGCAAATCTTAGAACATGACTAACAAGGTCTGAAGTGGGCACAGGTTAGTCCGAGCATGAGGGAGTTGGGGTGGGGGAGAGGCGTCACCTTCAGTTGCCTGAGTGGAAGATTCCTGGGAATCAACGGAAGACCTACAGAGAACTGTCACCTCTGATATTCTCCCGTGCAGTAGACCAGGTTGTCTGGTAGCAAGGCTAGGGATGTTTGTCAGACTAGCTAGCACTTGATAAACATGAGAGACAGGGGAGGGAGGGAGAGAGGGAGGGAAGGAGGGAGGGAGGGAGGGAGGGAGGGAGGGAGGGAAGGAGGGAGGGAGGTCACACTGGAGCCCACTGGCCCTCTGTTCCTACATCTAACTGCGGTGGTCTTCAGACTCAGGGATATTCCACCCACTTTTGAAATCTTGCACGAAACCAGAGAAGAGAAGTCTGGGAAATGCAGTCCCAATTTCACCAAGTTAGCCTGGCATAAATTGCTCACAGTAATGAGTGCCAGCATCTCTTTCCCAGTATTGACACTGGTGCTCCTTCCAGGTGATTCGACGTCACAGGCTCCTCTAATGAAATCCCTTGGTAATACTGATGAGGCCTCCTACCAACTCTCACCTCCCTTTTCCCTCTATTCAAAACAGTTTTGCCCAAATTTGAGGTGAAAGTAAAAATGCCCAAGATCATTAGTTTCCTGGAAGAGGCATTTGAAGTGTCGGCCTGCGGCTTGTGAGTTACATTATTTTTTATCTTATTTTGATGTCCATATTCTATTTGAGAGGATGTACCTTAAATAATATTTAGTGGTGCATTACTTATGAGCACATATAAGCATTAAAAGGGATATACAAGAAGAAAGCTATGGCCATGAGGCTATGCCAACCTCACAGCTGGGCTAAGGGGAGATTTTCAGGTATTAACTCTATGGGAGGAGCTTAATTAAAATTAGAATCCCTGGCTCCACTTACAGAAATTCTAATTACAAATCTAAGGCAAGAGTCAAGAATCCTCCACCACAACAAGAATCACAGGTCTAAAACAGCAAGCAGGTCTAACCTTGCATGCTTCCTCGCATCATATCCAGCAGAAACAAATTGAGTTATCACGATAATATTTATAAATCACGTTTTTATTTTGTAGCCACTGCTTTCCCAAATCATTCTCTCACTTACTATTTTAAAATACTTAGAAATATAGTCATTATATATCCTTCTCTTTCTTAAAGCTAAAATAACTTCAGTAATCTGATGGCAGAGACAGTCATTTTTTAATTAATTGTGTGGGTATATAGGTATATGCCATACACCTAGACAGGTGCTCAAGAAGGCCAGAGGTATCAGATCCACTGAGGCACTGGAGTTACTGCTGCAGGGAGTTGTGAGCCACCCGACGTGGGTGTTGGGGACAGAACTCAGGTCCGCTGGAGACGCAGTAAGCGCTCTTTGTGTGTAGGGGGGGGTACCCATAGTTATGTCTGTGTACATGCATGCTTAATGCCTGCAAAGTCCAGAAAGAGGTATCAGACTCCATGGAACTGGAGCTACAGACAGTTCTGGACCACCAGGTGGATGCTGGAAACGAAACCTAGGTCCTCTAGAAGAGCAGCAAGTGCTCTTAACTGTTGAGCCACCTCACCAGTGCACAGGACAGTCTTAATAACAAAACCTCACCTAAAGGAGGGAAAAAACTAGGTGCTTAATCCCTCAGTACTCAGGAGACAGAGGCAGACAGAGTTTACGCCAGCCTGGTCTACACAGTGAGGACTACATAATGAGACCCAGTTTTAAAAAAATTTGGGAGGGAGGGAGGGAGGGAGGGAGGGAGAGAACTTTGGAAAAATACTAAATCAGTATCTTTCCATTTAGAGGCATTTTCAAATAGCTCCCTGACTACTTTGTCTTAGAATTATAGGCACATTTCCATCCCCACTTAGATGTCAGGACATGGCCTGTTGTCACCAGCTGTTCTAGACCAGGGACATAAAACAGGTGCCTTAGATGAATACAATGGACCAGAGAATGGGTCGGGTGAAGAGACATCTAAGTCATTCATACACAATGGTATTTGGAATGATCATTTTATTGTTCTAGATACACATATGGAAAGCCCGTTCCTGGTCTGGTGACAATTAGCGCGTGCAGAAAATATTCACGATTCCACTCCCACTGCCATGGCCAAAATTCACAAAGTATCTGTGAAGAATTCAGCGGCCAGGTATGTAGAAATCACTCCCTGGTTCTTCCTTTCTCATAAACTACAACACTAAATGCAACACGACAGGGGATACATCTGAAATGTCATCAAGCAAAACACTGGGGTAGGGGAAGGAATGTGAGAATAGGTGGTTGTGGTAGAGGGCCAATTGAAGATGGAACACATGAATCTATGCATGCGTTTGACCAGTTCTGTGATTTTTCTTGCCAACAGCAACAACATGCCATGTTCTAAAGGGATAAAGAAGTGTTCAAACCTGGTTTTTGTCACAGAATAGGTCAGGTGTTAAGAACTGGGATAGTAGCTGGGTGGTGAAGGCACACACCTTTAATCCCAGCACTCAGGAGGCAGAGGCAGGCAGATCTCTGTGAGTTCGAGGCCAGCCTGGTCTACAGAATGAGTTCTAGGACAGGCTTCATAGCTACACAAAGAAACCCTGTCTTGAAAAGTCAAAAAGGGGGGGGGGGAGGAGAACTGGGATAGTGTGAGGATCCAGTGGCATGTCATTTCCAAATGACAAGGGAAAATATTGAACAATGAATGAGCATCTGGCCCAGGAGGGGAAGATCTAGAAAACACAATTAGAGAGCCGATCATGTCGCAGAGGAGATTTAATAAAACAACTGAGAGAAGAATATGTTGCACTGAAAACATTTAGATGCTGCTAAGTGTGGAGGCTCACACCTGTAATTCTAATAATTAGGAATCAAAGGCAAGAAGAGGGGTTCAAGGTCATCTTTGGCCATATAATGAGGATGGCTGAAAGAAAACCTATCTCCAAAAAACTGGTAGGACTGGAGAGGTGGCTCAATGGGTAAGAGCACTGGCTGCTCTTGCTGAGGATCTAGGTTCAATTCCCAGCACCCACATGGCAGCTCACAACTTTCTGTAACTCCCATTCCAAGAGTATCCAACACCCTCTTCTAGCCTCCGTGGGCACCGCATGCACGTGGTGTACAGACACACATGCAGGCAAAACGTCCATACACATAAAATATAATTTATAACAAAAAATTAAAGTTGGGTGCATGAACTCTGTTTTCAGGGGAAGAATTATAAAAATTCAGGGAATAAAAATTCAGGGATGGCTATTAGAGCAGACACTGCATGGAGACTGTGATGGAAGTTATCGAGGCTGCAGGGAGCTGGCCAGCGAGAGGCTGCCATGGAACGTGCCAAGATGTACAGTAAGAACAGCTCTGATGAACAAGACCAGTCCAGTCACACTCTAGCTGTCCTGGTCTTTAAAATAACTTGAAGACTGGTACTAAGTTTTTATTTTCAAATTATTCACAATGTCTATAAATTAATTATGATCAAATTTGAGGGGTTTGTGTGTGTTGAGACCCACCAGTTTTTTTTCCCCACCAGTTTTTTTGAGACTGGTTCTCTTGCAGCCCCCACTGGCTTCAACCTCATTATGTAGCCAAGGATGACCTCAAACTCCTATTCTTGCTTTCGCTTCCCAATTTTATAGCTAACTTGCAATTCACTATGTAATCCAAACTGACCTCAAATTCACAATAATTTTCCTGCCTCAACCTGCCAAATGCTGGGATTACAAATGTTTGTCACGTTGCACACCTACGATATAATCTTTATTAAAACCTAGGTCACAACATTTAGGTCAGAAATCTAATTACTATAAGGGTTTGTCTAGTCAATGGATATGCACACTCCCAATGTCTCAGACATCAGTCACATGACTTGGAAAATACAGTCATGAATATGTAGAGTCCATGAAATAATAACAAATACTGGCAAGTACACAGAGAAAAGGAAACCCTTATATGTGGGAATATAAGCTACTCCAGCCACTAAAGAACCCAGAATGGAGGTTCAAAAAAATTAAAATAAAAATTGATCTATTGTATGACCAACCACAGCTGAGTCTTTACCTGAAGGACTCTAAGTCAACACACCACTGAGATGCTTGCTCATCCACCGTTATTGTGGCGTTGTTCACAATAGCTATGTTGTAAACCAACTGAGGTGTCTGTCGGTGGAAGAGTGGATAAAGAAAATGGGGTGTAATCTGTACAATAAAATTTCTCAGTCATAAACAAGAGCCAAATTATTCAATGTTGTGGAAAAATGGACAGAACTAAAGATAATTGTGTCAAGAGAGTTGTCAATCTTGCCGGGCAATGGTGTTGCATGCCTTTAATCCCAGCACTCGGGAGGCAGAGGCAAGTGGGTCTTTGTGAGTTACCTGGTCTACAAGAGCTAGTTCCAAGACAGGCTCAAAGATACAGTGAAACCCTGTCTTTGAAAAAAACAAAAAGTTGGGAGGGGGGAGTGGGAGGACGTTGGGAGGAGGGGCGTAAATGGAATCTTTCTATAATTTAATAAAATTACTTTCAAAAAAAAAAGAAAAAAGAAAAAAACAAAAAGTTGTCAATCTCAAAAAAACAAACATCACATGTTTGTTCCCATATGTGGACCCTATCTTATGTAAAGATACATAAAGTCGTGCAAGCGTTTACCTATGGTGTGAAGGTAGAAGCAGAACACCTAGGCCAGGGATTTTCAACCTTCCTATATCTGTGACCTTTAAATACATTTCCTCATGTTGTAGTGACCCCATAAAATTATCTTCATTGCTACATCATAACTGTAATTTTGGTATTGCTATGAATTGTAATGTAAATATCTGTGTTTTCCGATGGTCTTAGGTGACTCCTGTGGAAGGGTCACCCGACCCCCAAGAGGTCACAACCCACAGGCTGAGAACCACTGACTTAGGTGGACAAAAGAACTAAGGGGAGGGAGTATAAAGAGAAGAAAGGGGAGAACATGTTCAAAGTAAATCATAGACCTGCATGAAAATATCCTGATAAAACCCACTACCATATACAGTGAATGTTGACCAATATATTTAAATATATAAAAAGGGCACACATCCCAGTCAGCGTTGAGCTAGAGATGATTATGGAAACCTCTTGGAAAATGTTATGCCTAAGTTGAGTTTGAGAAGCAGGGACTGTTAGTCAAGGGAAGAAAAGAGAGAAAGAATACCATCATTTGAGGAGCAACATATGCGAAGAATTACAATTACAAAATATGATGGCACACTTGGAAACTCCAGGAGAGCTGATGCAGTAGAGAAAGGATCCATTTTTGGAAGAGAGGAGAGGCAAAGGTTGGCTAGAAATAACCCAGAGGTTAATAAAGAAACCGTTCATCCTTAGGGTTGGGAAAGGACACACACAAAATAGATATCTGAATGCTTTAAATGTTTTTGCAAACTTATAATTGGCATTTTGATGGCAAATAAAAGAACTTGGGAATTCTCTCCTCTTCTCTTCAGGCAGATGATAAGGGATGTTTCAGTCAAGTTATAAAAACCAAAGTATTTCAGCTAAAACAAAAAGGCCATGACATGAATATAGAAGTGGAAGCCAAGGTCAAAGAGGAGGGAACAGGTCTGTATTATTTTAAAATAAATGTCAATTAAGTGGGAACTTATCAAACTTCCATTCCATTTGATATACTTTATAGAGTCCACATAGTATGAAAATGACAGGTCACTGATCTCAAGAAATTAAATGTTTAAAAGCAGAGAGTGTATGTGTGTTGGAGTGTATGTGTATAACTGTGATCAAATTTCCATAAGGAATTTGGGACTTAAGTAGTTAATTCTAATGCAGAGACAGAAGGGGGACCCTTATGCTGGCATTTGATGCACTCTGTGGAGGATGAGTGACATTTTGAAAGATTAGCAATAGGCCGGGGAAAGCACAAAAGCACGCTCATTCTCAGAACGAAGGAAATTGCGTCAGACGATGAGGTGCTTACATGTGCTTCTGAAAAGCATGACTAGCTTCAGATATATTTATTTGATAATGACCTAAACAAACTGATTTTTCAAAATAACGCTAACAGAAGATGCAGGATTAGTGAAAATGTATTGGATGTGATACCTCATAAAATTATTCAAAGATTAATGTGGCATTCTGTAATAACGGATGAGAGCTGAGGTGGAGGTAGAAGGTGAGTTTGGGATAGATAAAACTAGCTTCTCTCTCTCTTTTTTTCAGGAATGGAACTCTCTGGCCGTGCATCATGTGAAATAACAAGCACCTTAAGTACACTGACGTTCACGAAAGCGGATACGCACTACAGGCCAGGGCTACCTTTCTTTGGGCAGGTAAAATACTTTCCCCCATAATTATTCTTAGGGGCATGAAATGCTCTTCTGTGTATATGTTTGTGCGGTCATGATACCTATACATGTGCATATGTCTTTACATGAGTGTAGGCACACATGTACGTGGGTACACTTGCGCTTGTGGTGTGCACATCGGGAGATTCCAGGTTGACATCAGGAGTCTTCCTCAGGCCTTCCCCACCTTATTCTTTGACTCAGGGTCTCTCACTTGAACGCAAAGCTTGGCAGTGCTGGCTAGTCTAGCTGGCCAGCTTGCTGCAGAGAGCCTCTGTCTCAGCCGTGCAAGCTCTGGAATCATAGGCAGGCTGCCATTTCCACTCAGCATCTCTGCAGTACTGGGAATCTGAGCCCTCGTGCACATACAAGAAGTGTCTCATCCACGGAGCCATCGCCCCAACCCCAGGCACAAGATTTTTAAGAAAAAAAAATTTAATTGCAAAATCAAAATATATTACAGCAATTGCATAGAAAAAGAAATAATAGCAAATTTCACGTTTATCAAGGAGAGTGAACTGTTGAAAAACAAAGTAAATTTTAAACTATCACCTTCCTTACATAACTCTGTAATAGTTTTTTGGTTTTTTTTTCTGTGCAGTTTGGCTATGTTCTCTTTGATTCCCTCCTTATAAAAAAAAGCTTTCCTAATGCAGTTTTCCCCAGAAATAATTTTTAAAAGTAATTGTGTTAGTCAGCTTTCCCTTACTATAACAAGATACCTGAGACCTTTAACTTATAAAGGTAAAACGTTTATTTTGGCCCAGGGAAGTCTCAGTCCATTGTGAGTTGTGTCTGTGGTGACACCACACATTACAGTGAAGATATAAAGAAAGGCAGATTCTCCCTCTCATAACAGAGAGAGAGAGAGAGAGAGAGAGAGAGAGAGAGAGAGAGAGATTGAGAGCCCGGATTCCAGTCTCCTTGGACAGCACACTTCCAATGACCCAAGGACTTCAAATCCAGTACCAGTAACACCACACTGGGATCCAAGCATTTGGGAAACATTTAACATCCAAGAGATATCAACAGCCTTTTGTCCAGATGGTAAAATTCTTAATTACTGAAACATTTTTAAAGACTTATTTTTCAGGGCTAAAGCAACATTTGTAATAGCAATGCTGATAAATTCTAGGCCAGACAATACAATGGAGTAAACTGCCCTTTTCCTTTCATGTAATACAGTCAAGGTTTCAGGCAGTTCTCAACTTTGCTTTCATGACAAATAATCTTTGGACTGAGTTGATGAGCAATTTCCTCACTTATATTTGGAAGTTTATATCTGAATTTGACTTTTACGCTTTCTTCATTCATTTTTATTATTTCCTGTCAAGCTGGAGGAGACACTGATAAGTACGTTGGGGTTTAGCAAGGCCTTCACAGGTAGAGAAAAAAGATCACAAGAAAACAGAAACATGTGAGTCCCTAGAAATGAAAGATAGAAAGGAAGATGGTAGCCTAACTGTAAAGGGAGCGACGATTGTAGATGGAGCTACGGGCTGCTTTTCGTCCCGCCCAGCTCCCGGCTAGCTTTACCCAAAATAATTACACGGAAACTGTATTCTTTTAAACACTGCCTGGCCCATTAATTTCAGCCTCTTATTGGCTAACTCTTACATATTGATCTATCCCATTTCTAATAATCTGTGTAGCACCATGAGGTGGTGGCTTACCAGGAGGATTCTAACCTGCGACTGTCTCGGAGAGGAGAGTCATGGCGTCTACCTGCCTCTGCTTTCTTTCTCCCACAATTCTGTTCTGTCTACTCCACCCACCTAAGAGCTAGCCTATCAAAAAGACCAAGGCAGTCTCTTTATTAACAAATGCAAGTAACAATAGACAGATGACCCTCCTCCATCACCTAACAGCTAGGGAAGTCAGGGCAGGAAACTGAAGGCAGGAACCTGGAGGCAAGCATTGAAGCAGAGGCTATGAAGGAATGCTGCTTACTGGCTTGTTCCCTATGGTTTGATGGTTTTACTTTTTTACGAAACCCAGGGCCACCTGTCCGGGGTGGGCCCACTCACAATGGACTGGGCCTTCCCACATCATCATAAAGAAAATGCAGCACAGACTTGCTCACAGGCCAACCTAGGGAAGGCAATTTTTTTTCAGTTCAGGTTCTATCTTCTAAAAGGACTTTAGTTTGTATCACACTGATATAAAAGTAACTAACACAAGGAGTTGGGGAGATGGCTCAGCTAAGAGGTGGCTCCTCCTGAGGACCTGAGTTCAATTCCTAGTACCCATATCAGGCAACCATAATGGATAAGTTCACTAAGTGGATATAATCATTCTATATTACATGAAGTTATCAAGACATCACATCACATTGTACTCTAAAATCTATACAGCATTCTTATTTTTCAATTAAGAAGAATAAAATAGGGAGCTGGAGAGATGTGTCAGTGACTAAGAACACTAGCTGCAGTTTCAGAGGACCCAGGTTCAATTCCCAGCACCCCTTCTGAATTCTGATACACACGGCACAAAATAAAAGGTAAATATGGCCAATAAAAAAACAATAAAATAAATATAAACTTTCAGGTTTCAAAAACTTAAGGAATATTTAAAGGAAATATCACAGTTTAAAACTGAGAAAATGTCTCATTTTCAAATGCAAAGATCTTCAGTAAATGACAGGGACAGAGCAGGAGGCAGAGACGTAAACAGAACAGACTGGAAAGATGGTGTGGCTAGCTGGCATTGGTAACCAGACATCGCTTTCCTGTTTCTAGGTTCGTCTTGTCGATGAGAAGAATCAGCCAATGCCCAACAAAAACATCTCTGTCCGCGTGGATGTAGCTAAGTACCTGTCCACTTTCACCACTGATGAACATGGCTTGGTCAACCTTGCCATTGACACGTCCAACTTCACGTCTTCATTCGTGGGCATCGCGGTAAGTGGAAATGGGAACGTGAGGCCGAAAAAGCTTAGGTCAGGGGACTACACAACATGAGGATGTGTGAGAGGTGCATGTACTCTGGGGACAAAAGAAACCATGATAGGAAATAACACAAACTGAGTAACGTGGAAACCTAAATCAGGAAGGCCAGAAAGTTCTGTCTGGGACACTTATAGCATGGCCTGCCTTCAGGAACACTGGAAATACCATCCTTGTATTGCCTTGAAGTTTTTAATATTTTCATAGTTCTATTACCAGTTAGATTATCCCTGATTCCTTTAGCATAATATAATTTTTGTTTGTGCTTGAACATTCGAATAATCTTAAGCAATAAAGTTTTAAGAAGATAAAGCAACAGCTACCTACAGAAGACCTGTCCATACCTGGGCCTACCAACACTTCATAATGGGTGGGGGTTCATAAGACCCCACCCTGCCAGAGGAGAAGATTTTGGAAGGTTTCAGGGGGAGGGGAATCATATTCCACATTGCCCCCACTCAATCAAATAACCCTCAAGTGGGTCACACCCAAAAAAAGGCACAAAAATAAAGAGGTTCAGGAAGAAGAGACTTAGTTCGATGGTCAAATGGGATAAGAAAAAAAATAATAAGTTGGAGGACTTAATTAAGAATATAGACATAAAATTATAAAAGGATGAATAAGGAAAACAAGTGCCCTGACATGCAAATAATGAAGTAAATCCATACAGAAAAAAAATTATACATGAACCTCACAAGCATAGTAAGCATTCCTTCCTTCCTTCCTTTTTTCCTTCCTTTCTTCTTCCTTTCTTCTTCCTTCCTTTCTGGAGCAGAGGGTTTTGAGACAACCCTGGCTGTCCTGGAACTCACTCTGTAGAGCAGGCTAGCCTCGAGTTCACAGAGGTCCACCTGTCTCTGCCTCCTGAGTGTTGGGATTAAAGGTGTGCACCACCACATCTGGCTCAGGGTGAGCATTTCTTAATCCCAGTACTCAGGAAACAGAAAGAAGAAGTATAAGCTTTAAAACCAACCTGAGATACAGAAGCTTAAATAAACTTTAGATGTTGACTGAGTTTTCTGTCCTGCCCGGTTTCTGCAATCATTAAGTCCCAAAGAAATCACACAGAGGTCTACACTAGTTATAAACTGATTGGCCCAGTATCTCAGGCTTCTTATTAACTCTTACAACTTATATTAGTTCATTATTCTTGTCTATGTCAGCCAAGTGGCTTAGTACCTTTTTTGGTGAGGCAGTCACATCTTGCCTGCTCTGTGGCCAGAACTGGACTGCAGAAAGAACTTCCTTCTTCTCAGAATTCTCCTGTTCTCATTGACCCACCTCTATTTCCTGTCTGGTTGTCCCACCTATACTTCCTGCCTGGCTACTGGCCAATCAGCATTTATTTAAAATATAATTGACAGAATACAGACCATTGTCCCACATCATTAAGAGGGAGGTGGGAAAGCAGTTATCGACTTAAGAAAACAGACTTTTTACAAAAAGATATTGTCTGGGTAGGTAGCTAGACAGACAGACAGACAGACACTGAACACAGACGTGCTCTTCGTTTTCCCACTAGGTCTCCTACAAGGATAACAACAACTGCTATGATAACTGGTGGCTTACTGAATTCCACACCCAAGCACATCATTCTGCAACTCGTATCTTCTCCCCGAGCAAGAGTTATATTCATCTTGAACTTGTCCTTGGTACTTTGTCCTGTTGGCAAACTCAGGAGATTCGGACACAATACATTTTGAACAGAGACCTCTTGAAAGATGAAAAGGATTTAACCTTTTACTATCTGGTAAGAATGAGAATCCCTGCATCTCTTTCTAATTGTATAAACTCCAGATTTACTAGATTCCTCTCAGAATGGCAGGTTTTGTAGGACACCAGTGTTAATATTCAAGTTTTGGGGGTTGTACTGAAAGATAGACTGCCTCCTATGAAATTACTCGGGCTTCAGTTCATCGCTTTTCCTGTTCACCACTGAAATATTGACTCTAGACATTTCTTCATTTCTATGAAAAGGTAACAAATTTACAAGAGTTTTAATTTCTGTTTTATCTCTCCATGGTCCTGGGACCTTGGATAATTTACTGGACTTCATGCTCTAAAATAAGTATAAGTTATCTCACCTGAACACTGGAAACAACAGTCCACGAATTATTATATATATATCGAATTGTTCAAATTACCTCATCTAGAGTCAGGCCCACAGAGAGCGAGTTTTGCTTATTTTAAAGGAACAGTTTTTTGTTTATTTTAAAATAAGAGTAACAGCAGAGGATACTTCTATTTTACATTTACCTCCACTGTATACCCCACATACAGTAGGTGCTAAAAACATACACATACATACTTTTCACAGATTCCTAAGAATGATAAATATTGAACAAAATAAAACACAAAATTGTGTACTTATTATTTAAAACGTATATATGTACATACAGGAAAATGGTGGGAGAGAAATACCATGATAGGAATAACTCCTGAGTTGCAGTAACATGGTAGTTGATTATATATCATAAGTATGCTGAAGCTAGGCAGACAGGCCTTACGATGGATTTCCTTCTGTCTTCAGATCCAAGCAAGGGGAAGCATCGTTAGCTCAGGAACCCACCTGCTGTCGCTTGAACAGGGAAACAGTAAGTATCTTCCCTTTTTTATGCCCTCTCATCTTGCCAAACCCTCTGGACAAGCTGGAACCCCTCTCACGTTACAGGAAGTGCATGCAGCTCTCAATTATCCTGTGAGGAAGCTGCTCTGAACACTTCTGCATCTTAGGGATTTTTCCTGAAAGAAAGAATATTAAATTTATAACTATTTTCAAAAAGTCAAAAATAATCAAAATGAAAAAAAAACCAACCAAAGAAAACTTTTCTTCAGGTATTTGTGTGTCTGATTTCTGTTGCTGCCCTGATGTGATACCACAGATTTCCTGGCATATAACACATTTCTGCTCAGAAGCCTCACTGGGCTCAAGTCAGTATATTGGCAGGACCGCCTTAGATCTGCTAGAAAGACCTAATGTCCTTGCCTCTCCTACATGCCTTTGCCATGCCTTGATTGATTCCTTTACCTTCAAAGCCAGCTCCATCCTCAAAGCTCACCTGCCTTTGAAAACCATCCTTGTAATGACCTTGACTCCACCAGGATAATTCAAATTAATTTTCACCTCTCAAGGTCCTGGTTTAGCATCTGGAGAGACTTTATTGCCACATAAAACAACATACTCAAAGATTCTGAGATTCAATGTCCTGGGCTAAAATTCTGCTTACCACAATCATTGCAAAATCAACAAATACATCCAACAAGTCAAATTCAGTCCCTCCATCAACAAGTGCTTCAATTCGTCACAGCCTTTATATGAGCCCCCAAATCTCATATATCATACACAACAAACCAGTTCTAAATCGCATCATCTCAAATCTTCTAAATTAAGCATAAATACAATTCAAGCCAGGGAGAAAAATCATCCGTCTGGAGCAGCGTTTTTCAACCTATGGGTCACAACCCCTTCGGGATCCCTTATTAGTCATCCTCCATATCAGATATTTACATTATAATTCATAACAGTAGCAAAATTACAGTTATGAAGTATCAATGGAATAGTCTTATAATTGGGGATCACCACAACACGAGGAGCTGAATTAGAGGGTCGTAGCATCAGGAAGGTTGAGAACCACTGGTCAGCAGAGATATGAAATCCACCTGGACAAACAGCCCCAGATTCCAACATAGACCTGTCCTCTTTGGTTGTCCTCTGGCCTCTTAACTGACTCTTAACTTGCGCCACCCTTCTTTTTCCGCTAACACAGCATGTGGCTGTGGCTGGGTTTGCGTCCTGTACTTAGAGGGATCAAATGCCTTCCCTTCACTTACCCTCTGTCCCTTTATAACTGTATCTCTTTTGGGGTAAATTCCTCAGAAATCATGTTGTCCTCCTGTATGCCACACAACATTATACATCCTACTGGACAAGGGCTTCTCCGTGGCTTTTCCCTGGATAACTGCTTCTGTCATTTTGGCTTTTGTTCAGATGGAGTGGGGACTCTGTCAGCCATACTAATAATCTCTTCAAGGGAACTTTGAAGAGTGAGCTTTGGGACGGAACGTGGTGGAGTTTTCACTTTTCTATGACGTTAGCAAGAGGACATCCTTCATGTGGTTTCTCTCTCTAACGTTCAATCTCCAGAAATCGCTCTGTGTTCCTTAGAAGTTGGATAATGTGAGTTTCCAAAAGTTATCAAGTCCTGCTTGCTCCGTGGTGAGCCTCTCTGTTATCACCTTCCCACCATAGCAGGAAGAAACGAGGCTGGACAGCAGGCTTCTCTCTGAACACCTCAAGCCGTGCTGTCCGTTTGCTTTCCACGGAGCTTCAGGACATGCTTCAGCTAGACTTTCTACCACTGTCCACCAAGAATCCCCCTCCTCCACAACCCTCACTGGCAGCAGTATTTTAAATTCTTCACCATTATAATTATCAATATTTATTTTCACACAAATTACTGAGTTTTACAGTGATGTCTCCAAGCATGTATGGAGCGTACTTTGGCCTCCATTCTCTTGTCCATCCTCCTCTTCCCTTCCCCTTCCTGGACTCTTCTTAAAGGTTCGAGCTACTATTTTTCCTCATATAAGAGAAACCACATAATACAAATCTCTTTATCTGGCTTGTTTTGTTTAACATAACGTCCTCCAATTCCACCCATTTTCCTGATGATGATACAGTTTTGTTATTCTTTGTGACTGAATAGTAATTGTTCATTGTCTAAATGTACTACATTTTCTTGCCTGTTCATCTCTTGATGGATGCTCAAGTCGATTCCATATACTGATAGCAGTGAACAGAGTCACAGTAAGTGTGGCTAGTTAGGTGCCTCTTTTGAATGCTGATCTCGTGTCCTTCTGATAAACACTGAAGAGTGAGTAGCATAGCTGGTTTATATGGTTAATCTATGTTCTGTTTACTGAGGACCCTCCATGTTGTTTGCCACAATGACTATGCTAAATTACATTCTCTGCATTTAGAGGTTCCCTCTCCTCCACATATTTGCTAGAGGTTGGGTTCTTTATGGTTTCTATTTTGCTGCTCTGATTGTTATGAAATAGAATCTCAATGTAAATATGATTTGTATTTCCCGGACTGAGTAGGCTGTGTCTTTACTACTAAACTTGGCGTGCTTCTGCAGCCATCCACCTCTGAAAGCAGCTGCTCTTTGGTTGATTTGATTTTTCCCTAAGCTGTAGAAGTGATTGATGACCCAAACACCAATCCACCATCTTGTATTTCCAAACATCAAGCCACCATCTTGGATCTCCAAACACCTGGCCCAACTTTCAATCTCTGTTTTTTCTAACCAACTGTCTATACTATGTTACGCCTTTGCTGAGATGTCTACTAGACCATGACTTTCACTCTGCACATTTCCTAGAGGACATTTAGCCTCATAATTCTACCAGTCTAATAAAGATGCAGCATCCTTTACTCTAAAGCCAGGCTCACCATGGGGGTCTTCTTACTGGAGGACAGAATTAAAGCTGTACCTGTAAAAACGCCATTTGTTCAGCATGCACTTATCAAGTGCCACGTCACACAAGACGGCAAAAGTGTGAGCCCTTCCTATGTGATCCAAATATAAATTCTTAAATATTCTAATAACTGTTCTGATATAAAATTGAGAGTCCACTCCTAATCCATAATCTCGAATCTTCTTCATTCTCCAGTGAAAGGGGTATTTTCCTTCCCACTTCAAGTGGAGCCAGGCATAACTCCGGTGGCCCAGCTGCTCATCTATGCTATTTTACCTGATGGAGAAATTGTCGCCGACACTCAGAAACTCGAAATCGAAAAGTGTTTTACCAATATGGTGGGTGGTTATATCTAAGTCCAATCCTTTTATTCTATCCTTTATAAGTGTATGCAATAAATAAGTAATATCTATTTTCATTTTTTTAGACAGGGTCTCTCAGTGTAGCCCTGGATGTCCAGGATCTTGCTAGTAGACCAGGTTGACCTTAAGCTCCCAGAGATCCACCTGCCTCTGCCTTCCAAGTGTTGGGATTAAAGTCATGCACACCATAGCGGGCTTAATGCCCATTTTAAAGTCACCACAAAGGGCTCTTTAACTTTCCCCCAAGTACCTCTCAAGTTAGCCTGGTGGTACTGTCCAAAACAGGTGGCCAAAGGCAGAATGTTTTTTTAATTTAAAAGACTCATGTGGATTTCAAAATCTAGTCTACAGAAAACTTTAAATATATATATATATATTAAATATAAATATTATTTATATATATATAAATGTGTGTGTATACATTACCATTTATTTTATGCCTATGGGTGTTTTGCCCAGATGTGTGTCTATGCACCTTATATGTGCTTGTTACCTGTGAAGGTCAGAAGAAGTCACAGGATCTTCTGGAACTGAAGTTATAGGTGGTTGTGAACAGCCATGTGGGTACTAAGTGAACCCAGATCCTGTGGGAAAGCAGCTAGTGCCCTTAACTGTTAAGCCATCTCTCCAGGTCCCATATCAAACTTTTTAAAATTATTTTAAAACATTTTGTTACCAATTTTCCACTGAAAATGCTGTTTCACCAAGCTGTGTCAATCTTGTCCCATCTATCTCCTGGCACATCTCTGATCCTGATTCAGCGTAAATTGAACTCCTGAATATAGTCAGGAAAGTACACAGGTTTTTGACACTGTAGTAAGGCTTAAATATAAAAAAGTAACTTGTCCTGAGATCTTTTATTATGCTCCACCTAAGGAACGCTGTCAAAGCTGGGCATTGTGGCAGGAGCATGGGGTAGGTTCCGTTTGGATCTTCTGTGAGTTTCGTGTGATGGGCCTCCTACATCAGCCCCAGGGTCTTCCGCTGTGGGTCGTGCATGGTTGCCAGGGAAATCTCGGGAGGGTTAAGGTTTGTCTCATACCACTCTAGCAGTGGGCAGCAGTCAGCTGGTGAGTTAGTCTCCCCTCATCACACGCCTCGCACTGCAGACCTGAAACTGCCTGACAGCATAGAACTGACAGAAAAAGATTACTTTCCACTCAGAATCAAATCTGAAAAATGCCTCTGATTCTGCAAAGCATTGGAAACCTCTGAGTAACACCATAAAGATTCTCCATAGAAGCTCAAAGGTACACTCACTCCAAATCAAATGCCTTCTCACTCACGCTGACCAAAGGTGACAGAAAAAAAAGCAGTGACATCACACAAAGGAAGACTCACGCAACACTCACGAGAACACTGACCGCCGCAGAGACGCCAGAAGGACGGGTCTAGGAGCATCACCAATTCAGGCCCCTGATGGTATAGTGAGCAAAGGGGGCCTTGAGAGAGTGAGAAAGGACCTGGGGTCAGACAGGACACATCTCTTCAAACCAATCGATTTTTTCTATCTTTTACTGGACAGAGAGAAACTGTATCTATTTAAAACGTTTTCCCTTTAAAACGCCGTGTACACATTAAATATGCATTAGTTTAAATTGTTTTTCTGGCACCTAGCCCTGCAAATGTTTGCGTATAATGGAAAGATAAGTAAGAGAGAACCACACCGGGCAGGTATGGTGGGTGCATGCCTCTGATCCCAGCAGAACCTGGGGTACACACTGAGTTCAGATTCAGCCTGGGCTGTGTGCAAGATCCTATCTCAAATTCCCTTAAAACAAGTCAAATGAGAAAAAAGAAAATGGTTCTGAATTCAGGGCTGGACACCGCTCAGGCCCCGAGATGAACAGCTGCTGTCTTCGCTTTCTTCCTCCTCGGCTGTGGAGCGGCACACCCCACACTAGATGCTTTCCCCTGTGGCTGCAGTGGAACTAAAGTGGCACGTGAGGTTTTAGCTCAGATGTGATGGACCCAGTGGTCTAATCTGCATCCATGCAAGTCCTTTCTCCTAAAAACCACAAAGCAAAAAGTCCTGGGTGTCACATCGTCAGGCTGTTGGGCATTTGTCCTATAATTCCATCATAACAAAAGAATAAGTGACTCTTTTCCTCTGAAACCTCACCCAAATTTTAGTCTCCACCAGCTGGGCCTACTCATTAAGGACAGCACCGACTCCTGCATCTAGTGCAGCTTCCTTCAGGACGCATACTCAGTGTCCCTTCTGGGTCCTGCGACAGGGAGCAGTTTGACGTTTTCCTGACATGTCCGTTTCTTGGCAAATAATATTTTCAGTTGATCGTAATCTCAAATAGCTAACTTGTTCATTTGACATAGACATGAACTGATTTTAATGAACTTAAGTTTTCTAAAATCATATAACAGGTTGATGTCGAGCTATGATGCAGATGTTCATCTCGCGACAGCATGATTTCCAAGTGACCCTTTGTTGCAGCGACATTCACTGACCCAAGTGTCGTAATTTCACTGAGCATACTGACAATAGACTTCTGAGGGAAAATAATAAAGTAAAATAAGATAAAGCAAAACTAACACACTGGAGTAAGACAAAACAAGCAAGCAGGAGGAAAGAAAATTTCAGAAATATCTACATCAAGGGGAAAAAATCAACAGTTTCCTCACCCATGACTTTCTATTGAACAAAGTAAAATCAAAACCCTAACAAAATTCGGGACAATTTCCCGCTGTTCTGTTCTTCTGTACTAAGCCTTCAGGTGCTTTCTAGTTTTAATAAACGTTTTAACTTCCCAACACACATCTTAAAATGCATATTAGATATTTAATTTTGGATGGCCCAGTAAATCTCCAGTGGCCATCAGCACTGCCCTGCTTTAGAATGTCACGTGACCATGACTGGAGGAGGCCAGGTAGTCCATCTCACCAACTCCTTACAACCTATCCTTTGATAGGTCAGCACCCAAGGTTTTATGTCTTCCTTCCCAGGAGTGTTTTCAGCACCATACTAGATTCTATTTCAGAGGGATCAACATCAACTTTCGACCAGTTATATAAAGAAGAAAAAAAAAAAAGGTAAACCCGAACCACACTTCCGGGTCATTCTGCAGATGCTGAATGAGGAGCCCCTCGAAAAGTCCAAGTTGTAAACTGCTGAGATGGGAAATGAGAAACTCAGAACAGGCTGGAGGAGAGAGTCAAATCATCTTTCTTTTAAGATATTGCTATATTCATATGCTCTTTACAGGTAAATTTGAGTTTCTCACCAGCGCAGAGCCTGCCAGCCTCTGATGCCCACCTGAAGGTCACAGCCACACCCCTGTCGCTCTGCGCCCTCCGTGCGGTAGACCAGAGCGTGCTGCTGCTGAAGCCGGAAGCCGAGCTCTCACCTCAGTCGGTGAGTCTCACTGCGGTCTTGGGCATCACGGAATGCTGACATGATAAGACCGTTCTTGTTAACCATGACCACAGAGGACAAGAGCCTCAGCATGATCAGTATGACGTAATTCCCTAACAGTCACTGGGCACAGGGTTTTACAGAATCGTCGCGTTTTACTCTGGTATTTCTTAACAAGTGAATAATAATTTGGGGTAGATCTTTTTACTGCAGGTTATGAATAATAAAACACAAATAGGATGTGTTAATTATGGAGAGAGCATGCTACAGTACGTTTTAGAGGAACTAAATTTCTTCCAATCCACTTGCTAGCCTGTAACAACTCGGATTATGTAAGATGCCGGGCTTTTATACTTTCTCTAAAATCAAGCACTTAATGGTCTTAAGAGTGGACAAAAATAGTTTCTTTTCAAACATGCCTTTAAAACGTTTTTGCATTTTTAAAGAAACATCCTTGCTTACTGGCTTTGTGGTGTCTTTAGCAGTTTTACAGTTATCCTCGGCTTCTTGCCTCCAAGTCCAGCATGACTGAGGCCAGGGTAGCTAAGACAAAGGGTTCAGAAGTCATCTAGTTGTCTCTGTGTGCCCATTCCCCTGCCTCTGCACCATTAACCCGAAAACTGCCAGCCTCTAACCCTTGCCTTCATAGTCTTCTACATTTAGACCAATTTTGACAAATTCCCTTCATTTTTTCAGAAAGAGTTTCGTATAGTCCAGGCTGTCATTGAACTCATAAGACAGTTAAGGATGACCTTGAGTTTTTGATCCTCAGACCCCCACTCCCAAGCACTGGGATTACAGGCTTGTACCAGCATGCCTTTTTATGTGGTGCTGGGGTTGAAATCCAAGGTTTCTTGCTTGTTAGACAAGCACTCCACAACTGAGCTACATCCCATCCTCTCAGCCCTTTAAATACTGTATTTATGCACCAGAAGATCAAAAATTTGGACACTCAGTCTTTTTTCATGATTCCCTGTCTCATCCCTTATAGCACACACGCAGTAAGGATGAATGCAACCATGGTGGCTTAAATTCCATATCGAGCATTATCCCATTTAAAATTCTTTAAACAGTAGAACAAGAAACAGTTTCCCTTTGTTCTCCTCCAATGTACAGATCTATGAGTTACTGCCAGCAAAGTCTCCTGAGCGTGGTCATTATGTCGAGAATGATGAAAAGTGCATTGTAGCAGACGATATCACTCACAACGGGATTGTGTACACACCGAAGCAGGACCTGGGCGATGACGATGCAAGCAGTGTGTTCAAGGTAATCCCTCCTGGAACTCTCCAGAGCTGGTTGATGAGCCTGTGTTAAAATGCAAAATCCAGGAGCTTCTAAGCACTACAATCTTATCCTTCCTTCTCTTACCAAACAATAATCAACAGAAAAGACTCTCAGAATTCATTACTTTGTGCAATACATATCTACCAGAATTTCTCTAGCACCTTAAGTAACAAGTGGCTTACTGTTTCTCTCTGTAGCCATATATGTAGACATGTAAATATATGTGTGCATATATATATATATATATTATCTTAGAGATTAATACATGAGTAGCTCCTTGGCAGCTGTAATATAAGTCATTTGCATGATAAATTCTTTAAAGTACCTGTATATACATTGTTGATCATATTTCCCAGATATTGTCTCCCCTCCCTTTCCTTAACCCCCTCCTTCTATGAGTTTCCTTTGTCCCCCAGAATGTTTTGCTTCTACTTTCATTAATATATATAGACACGACTTTATGTATCTTTATAAAGTCTAGGGACCACAAATGATAGAAAACATAGTCATTAAAAATATACACAATGTTTTAATATTTTTCTAAGACTCGTTTAGCTCACTTAATATGATTGCATATGTTTTCTGGCAAATGATAAGGCTTCATTGTTCTTTATGGCTGAAAATTCATATATATACTTTTTCCCTTATCCATGCCTCTGGTTTTGACCACCTAAGTTGGTTCCGCAAGTTAACTATTGCCAACAGTGATTCAATAAACACTGGAGTGCAAGTGTCTCTGTGACCGGCTGGCTTGCAGTGCTTTGGGTAAAGGGGTGGTAGAGTCGTATGGAATATCTACCTCCATTTAGTCTTTTGAGAAACCTCCATACTTCCACAGTGACTGGACTGTTTACACGGCCAACAGCAGTGACCATTTCCTCGTCGATATTTGCTGTTGGGTTTTTCCTTAATGACGGCCATTCTGACCAGACTAACAGGGAATCTCAGTGTGACTGATTTGCAGTTCTCCAGTTGCTAGGGAAGTTGAACTCATTTCATGTTTTTTGACCACTTATATTTCATTTTTTGAGAACTATCAGTCTGTTAATTTCATTAACCTGTTTGCTTATTGGGTTGATATTTCGTTGTTTAGGGTTTTCTTAGCTATTTGTATATTAATCCTCTGTCAGGTGTACAGTTGGCCAAGATTTTCTCCCCTTCTGTAGACAGTGCCTTCATGACCAACTGACAGGTTTCTTTGCTTTGCAGAACTTTTTAATTTCACAGGGTCCCACTTGTCAATGTAAATTTTTAAGATTAGGGGGCTGGAGAGATGGCTCAGAGGTTAAGAGCATTGCCTGCTCTTCCAAAGGTCCTGAGTTCAATTCCCAGCAACCACATGATGGCTCACAACCATCTGTAATGAGATCTGGTGCCCTCTTCTGGCCTGCAGGCACACATGCAGACAGAATATTGTATACATAATAAATAAATAAATAAATAAATAAATAAATAAATAAATAATTTTAAGATTAATTACAACTAAGCTGAGCCATGAGCGTTAAATATATCCAGACTGTGAACTAAATTTTATCTTATCAAAATAGACTAAAATCTTTTGTTTTTACCTTTAAAACATTTATAATTCTTCCTATAGAGATCTGCAACTCACTGAGAACAATTTAAGTCCCCTCTCTGGAGTTTCCAATATGCTTTAACATGTAATATTTTTCCAGTCTGTAGGATTAAATATTTTTACCAACTCCAAAATCCACAAACCACGCTTTTGCCAGCTGTCTCGAGCCTATGCAGATATTGGAGGCAGCTATAGAGGTAAATGTATGATTTCTTTGTCTGCTAAAATAAAAGGAGCAAAACTGATGTTTCACTGGGGTAGGGTGGACGTTTAAAGAATGTTTTTATACAATTGGCCTATACATATGTATACATATACATCATATACATATATATCATATACACGTACATCTTAGGCACCACTCAATTCCCTTGGCAATGTATTCACAAGTCACATCTTCTGCCAAAAATAGAACTCAGATGAGATTACTGCTTCTCTCCCTAGCATGGCCCTCCCCCCTCCCCACTTCTCTCTTCCCCCACATCCCTCCCCTCTCTCCCTTCCCTTGTCAAAATTGGCTTTTTTATCCTAGACATCAATCATCTCGCTTCTTCATATCCCTTCTGTAGACACCACAGCTCAGTCAGTTGTGACAGCATTTGAGGCTTCGGGCTACGGCCAGCACTCTGTCTCAGTGGCTGAGCTTCGGGCCACGGCCAGC